TAGTTTTTCCATTGTTGCGTGATCCAAGGGGCCTCAGGATAGATTCGTACCTTACAAGGTCCGTATATTTCGGCACTTGCAGAGAGTAAAACGTTTTCACATCGATGGCCGATTCCAGTGGTGTTCTAATAATTCGAGGCTCGCCATAGTGTGCAAGTTCGGGTGACGAGTAACTCTCACTGGGTTTGTGGGTTTGGCTTTTCCCTACATCGAAGTGCACAGTTAGTTCCACTGGTCTTGGTCGTCAGACAACTTGCCCCGCAATGTGATGGAGGTAGATTCGGGGACATTAGTGCGTATGACAGTCAGGGAGTTATTACTAAAGCCCTTGGTTATTATTGTCTATCAATAGCTGCTAAAGCATGAGTCATAAACATTTTTCAACCAGCAAGTGCTGACCCATAGATAAGTCTTTGTATTGAAACAATCGGTCGGAGGCTAAGAAGTTGGTAAGGTGTGTGGAGTCATTAGCTAAAGACGTGTGAAAAAACGCACTTAAATCCAGTTTTGAGAAAACCGTTGCACCGGAACGACGAACTGTCAGCTTATCACAAGAAGATAGCACAAGTCTCTCGAGGACTAACTGCTTGTTAAGAACTTGTGAATCATTGCATATCCTGACAGTGCCACCTTTCTTCAAAACGCTTACCACCAGATACAGTTACTCGAAGCGATCGATTGGCTCGATTAGTTTGTTCGCCAACATAATCTGCAAAGTTGCTGAGACAGCTTGATGTTTCCTAAGTGGAATCGGTCGAGGTTGACGATTGGAAACAAGTTACGCATCTTGGTTCAGCTGGATGCAATGAACACCACATGATGTACGTCTGATAAAAGGTTAAAAAAGCATCCGATAGCGTTCTGGCCAGTACGTTATTCCAATGGGAAAAACAGTCTGACGATCAAAGCATGTCATTACTTTTAATGTAACCAAGCTGAGCCTGCGTGTTACCTGATGAAATGCACATCGCAACCTCCGCATATACCATGTCCTAAGGAAGCGGTACGATAAGGAAACCAAGAATGGTTACAGTATTGCTGCTGTTGCTTCAAAATGAGTGAGCAGTCGGCTATAAGGAATACTTGGATAAACAACTTCTGTGTGAACTGCAGGGCGCAACACCAACAGCCGAAGAGGAGTCTAATTTCATTTCTAGTGGAATAGCACCTTTGTTCTAAGGGAATAAGACAGTTCGAAAACCTGCAGAAGGAATTTATGGTGCAAGAACACATATTATCATGTTTCAACTTTCCGGTATTCGCGGTGAGCGAGTACACATGTTACTCTGCTGAATCTGTTACGTCGTGCTCGGAAACGGTGGCCTGTTCAACGAGTGCGATGCGTTGGGATCGGCAACAGTGGACAAAGTGCCCAATTTTTCAGTTTTGCATGTAAGACTGCGGGCTGGACACGAGGCAAAGCAAGCCTTGTGAGAGGTACTACCTTAGGGGTAACTGGATGATTTATTCTTTAGTACCTGGGGAGTAAACTGCGTTTCACCACATCGGTCAGTTTAGTTACACAAAACCTAGTCTGCAGTGTAATCACCATCTTCATTATCGCCAAATAACAGGCCTGATACCAGGTTACAGTCCTGGCCTCTTCCTGAAGTTGCTTTCCGTGGATACGGCTATCAGTAACTCAAGAAATCAGTTGTTAGGTCAGCGTGCCGCCTTCCATCATTTTCGGCGAAATCGAGGAGTTATCGCAAGGCCGTGCTAGACGATTAAGTCCAGTAATAAAACCATTCAGAGATTCATTGGGATCCTGTTGCATTCTGGAGGAGGAGAAAGCGCTGACTACGATGGTGCCAAGGAGGAAATAAAAGTATTACAGTTTTCAAGTGGAGGAAAATCTGAGAGACATGCTCCGTCTTTTCAAAATGGGTGACATGACGTGTGTGAGAAATTTCTGTCAAGCGAGGAGGTTGTTGACAGAATCGGTGATGGGCGGAAATGGCGAAGTCAATTATGAACTACCGGTTGGAAACAAGAAATGGTTCAGGCACGCAGATCATCGGAGGCCGAACCACCGGAAGACTCAAGGGCCCGTGGTCATCAAACAACCAAGACCGACTAGGAGAAGAAAACCATCAAGGCAACTGATTGAGGTCAAGACAAATATATGAATTGAAGCAAGTATGCATGGTGGGAAAGCAGCTTTAATTCGGAGGAGAAGGTATCACAGAGGTGAAACGGCTGACTGCGATGGTGCACTCTAGCATGGCGAGATTATCCAGTCTACGTAAGCGGCTGACAGACTCGCTTCCATGGTCAAATCGGAAACTGATGAAATCAGCCCGTCAGCATGACGCAGGTTGCTACGTAACAGGGCGCAACAACAGCTGGCCAGTGCGGACCGCAACCAGGTTTGAAATCTGTCCAGCTTTGAGTCAACTCAGAAACGTACAACAGGCGATGATATATTGTGACCTATAAAACGAACCGTGTTTAGTGTGTAATACACTTCGGTCTAGTACTCCTCGGTGTCTCGTTCTGTCCCCGGCTGGGTTGGCAGTGAAGAGAACAGAGGAAGAGCAGCGTTGCAACAGTACCTTGCATAGAACAAATTCATTTGGAAACCCCAAATAAAATCGGGAGCATTGAACGCATCAGTGGCTGATTTGCACTCTTGAAGGTTTAAGTCGTCAAACTGCAGCTGCTCCTCATCTCCAAGCAAGTGACGAAGCGGCTTTGCTTTTGCTCGCTGATTGGAGACTATCTCGGTAATTAGATCCAAATACTACTGGAAGGAAATTGTTCAGAGAAGCTAAGCACCCGACTTAGGGCTGTTTCCACAATCCGTCCAAAAACGCCGCTGGAGATTGTATTGAAAGATTCATGGCGATACCGGCGACGCCAAGTGTTGTGTCAGAAAAACGCCAAGGTAGCATAAGTAGGTAGTAGGAGGTAAAAGAAGAATTCACTACCGTTCAGAAAGACACTGAAAAATCGTAAAAGTCAGCCAATCCATCAACCTGCATTGACCGAAGTTCAACCAATCAAAAGGACTCAGAGTAGAGAATCACAACGGTCCTGTGCACGATCTCCGTCTTGGGTCAGGCTAGAAAGGGGTCACTGGCTTCCGTGCACAACTGCATTTGTTTCCGGGCCGGAGTGTGATGTCTGTTATTGTTTTAAGTTGCGAACCACTCGTCCTCACTAATCCTTCCCATTTAGAACGCCTTTAATAAAAGATCAAACTGCGAGATCGACCAACACACTTATGATGGTGAAAAACGTTATTCGGAGTCTAGTTTTCTTGGTGCCTCCACGTCAGTGCATTCACCTGGACCTCATACAGGACACTCCCAGTACCCCTTTTCATAATGCCGATAGCCCATTTTTGATGGCTACAGCGATTGTCTTTGACTAACACACGATCTTTTGGTCGCACTGTCCATTTTTCTTGTTTCAGTAGACCGCTGGCCCAAAACAAGTCGGATAACGTCATGTACCAGACAACAGTCGTTTGGAGTAAGCGGATTTGCAATGGTTCTGTAGTTCCCTCCACAATGAATTTCATCAGCACTCGTTTTAATTTACCGACAAGTCTCTAAACCGGCTCATTTGATTGCGGACGGAAAAGAGGTGCTGTGATGTGAATGATCCCGTATCCACTTGTGAGTTCAGCGATCAACTGCTAAGTGAACCGCGTGCCGTTGTAGAACCCTATTGTCTCCGAAAACCTGAAAATGGAGAACAGATATCGTATTCTTGCGTCTTTTGCAGTTGTAAGCGTCGATACTATGATGCAAATTTCCGGGCAATCCACAACGGGCATCCACAACTGTCAGGAGACTTTTTCCGTTAATCAGTCCACCAAAACCAATGTGGAGACACACATGCGTTCTTGTTGCTTTTGGCCAGGGTACTGCTGTGTATGGGTTGGGCGTTTTCTGAGTGATGGCACATTTAATACAGCTTCGGCATAGATACTACAATTGTTCATCCATTCCCGGCCACTAGTCGTAACTTCTCGCTAGAGTCTCCTCCATTCGGTTCATGCCCGAATGCCCCGTATAAAACTGCGTCAAACTTCTACGGCGGGGTTCCGATGGAATGACCATGCGACTGGAGGCCAATCGAATATTTCTAACGTTCTGTTAGGTCCTCAGGCACTGCTAATCATAACTCGGACACCGGTACGGGAATCACACATTAGCAAGATTGCTCAGTTTCACAACACAGGTACGTTACCTTCTAATAATGGAAGTACATTATTTCTTGCTACATGAATGTTTCTACTGTTTCTGATCTTGGAAATGTGCGCTTATTGGTACTGCTCACACTTCTTGGTGGAATTTGCCTCGGCTGCTACTAATTGCGCTTTACCGACGCGAACATCTGGCAACTGCTCTTTTCGTTGTCTATGGGATAAATTGGACCGAACAATACTTTAACTTCTTTGGAAGTTTTCAGAGATCAGTTTTCCAGTGTAGTTTTCCTCTTCCAGTAGCCTAATCTCCAGTTGAGCTCGTAAACGTCTACAGCTTGCTTCACACCCGTCGGCTTTGTTGGCAAAATTAGTGATCGGAATCCATTGTTGAGTGCTCCACGCTACTGCAAGTTCTAGCCGCAAATGGCCAGATAGAGTGTGAACTGTTGAGAAGAGGTGAAAAGGCCCTACAGTTCTTCTCCGAGCGTGTGGTTTTGTCTGTGTTAATGTGATGGACTTCTACGAATAGTAAGAAGCAAAACGATAAATCAATCTGCAGCGGCCCATAAATTTTCTGTGCTTACTGTAAGTTTACTGTGCCCCACGCTGTGTTACTTCCGATGTGAACTTAACAGGCCCGCTCCACAGTTACTTCTAAAAAACACTTAAGTAGCGGCATCTGTAGTTTTTGACACTGCCGAATTCCTTACTCACTGCTTTAACAACGGTTTGGTTTCACGCCAAACATTCTTCTCTCCATCCGTCTCGCAAATATGGTTTATGTCGTCAATCCCATCATTTGATATAATCCGCAACCCCTTTTTGTATCCTCATACTCTAGGCCCGGCATTTGTCCCAACTCCTATCGCTGTGGCGACATCTCCAGCACGACGTCAAGTCCTCTTGCAGCTTACACGTGTAACCGAGCGGTTTGGGAAGATTAGACACTACTTCCTTGTTGTTGCACCCGTGCATTTGGCAAATGGAGAAACAGATAAGATTGACATTGAACAGGTGAGTTGTCTGCTAGTATCCGTTTTCTTGTCATGCATCTGTTAGCTCATCCATCCATGCATGCATATTGTTTACGTTATCGTAAGTTATTCAACATGTGGTTGCTCTGGACTATAGAATGTCACACACAAAGCAACATGAAGTCTATATATTCCCAAACTTGAAATCCGATGATACGCGTAGGGCTTCGAGTGTAAAGTGCATTGTACAACTTGTGTGTGTTCCGTTGTCATCTTGGATTGACTCCACCATACAACGCGTGGTTACTAATTGATGAGCTCAGCCATGAGAGAAGCACACTACCACACATTACTTTCTTTTTGTGAGTACACGCCATATCATGAACCTCCACTATGGAAACTTGGAGCCGGTGACCAACGGTGTGTGAAGTAAAGAACAGTTCTCATCTTCCTGTAGCAATACATTTTTAAGGCCAACCGAAGTAACGCACTTTATTCAATTGGTGGCGGCTTGCAAAGAAAGTCGTTGCTCTGGGGGACAGCCCTGTCCTCCGCACATTCATAACATGCAAGACAGTGGAAGACGAGCAGCGCTATATCGCGGTTAGATACCAGTCATGGCGGTCCGCTGCCGTCGCCCATGGCTCACTGACATAAGTCGCTGACTCGCAAGAGTAAGGTCGTGGGTTCGAATCCGGCAGGGTTCGGCGGGCGCGCGCTACTGACGAGTCCCAATAAGACGAAACGACCGTCTAGCGCATTCCTGGATGTGTGATGGCTGTCTGCCTGTGTCTAACTGCGAGGAAGTTGTACGTTCCTCTGTTGTAAGCCTACCTCCAAACCTTTATACAGCCCTTCTCTTACGGCGTACATGTTGTCTTTCAAATTCGCGCCATAGTATAGCAGGGACTTTGAGAAAATAGGACCCAAAGTACCATATAAACAGCCTTTATAAACGCAGCGTGAAATCATATGTGTTTCTGTAAGTTACCTTAGTTGCTCCTCTTTATATTCCTCACGGTCTTCTGGGTCACGCTTCTCTCTGCGCATCCCAATTTGCTAACTTTTGGTTTGATGATATTCTGTTGCTATATTTCCGTTTTCTGTTAATTTTTACAGTGGGTGTTTTGTGGTATGCAACAAGGGTTACTAAATGTTATCATTTCGTGAACTATCCTGTAGCTCAGAAGATTAATACTTAGGAGATAGTAAGACTAAACACACCAATCAGCGTTCAAGGCACTAAATGCGAGAACTTGTCCGGAGCAGATCAATAGTGCTGAAGCTCAACTTTTGTGCTGAACTATCGGGTTTATATGTCACATATAGCCAGCAAGATTTCTAGTAAGACCAGCACTTCCCAATGTACCCACGGTATTTTTGTCAATTTATGTACACCTTAGAATCACAAACCATGAACAGTGGGCTCATGTCCCAGTGCGTTGGAACAAAGATCTCCGTACCAGCCGGAAAGTTGTAAACTTTTGCTTGGTAGCAGTATAGAAACATCACTGCTACAAAATTAACGACAGTGTTTTTGATACCTCAGGAGAGGGGGACAGGCTATCACGTAGTTGACGAATTCACATCGTCCAGAAGAATCCGGCTGCCAAATTAACAAACGGGTCTCAGGTACATGCTTTGTGCTATCCGCTAGAAACAGGACTGAAATGGTGTGATGCAGTGCGAACAAAATTTATCCATATTAATCAACAGAAACAGCACATGTGCCATTTGAAATGATGCTCGCTGCCATACATGAACACAACAGTGAACGGAGACGTCGACAGGGCTTACAAATGGTCGACTATTGCTTGTTTGAGTTTAGAGCTTTCAAATGTAAACTACTGTGCGCTTGTCACCAGGCAGCCTGCAAGTATTGGTTAGGAGAGCACGCATTGCAGCACGCTTCCTATGAAAATGCTCCGGGCGTGCCCGTACAGGGACATATCGGTTGCTAAACACAAGTCGAAAAGTCATCAGAAATAGCGAGTTAACACTAATGCCGACTGCGGAGTGCATTCTATCCGTTTGATCCCTCTACCATTTTACAAATGATCAACCTAGGTATACGACTCTTTATAGGCCTATCGTCATCGATGAAAGCATGATATTTTTACACTTGAGACTTCAGAGCGAAGGGAAAGTAACATATTGATGGCTTGCACCATCTTCCTTACCAAGTTGGATCGAAGGCATAAGGGTTTTCGGTGGACAATATCGCCATCCGCTAAATGATCATATATTGGTGTGTCAGCTTATAAAGAATCCAAAAATAAGTACTGACAATTATTGTAACCCAACCAAAATACTTAACTGAGAATACTTCATTTGAAGTTGGCCAAGGCATAGCCCGTTGAGGTGTCGAATGAAATTTATTCCGCTTCGTGCATCACGTACGAAGAACGGTCACCCGAATACTCTAGTCGCATCGGTTACATTAACCGAATTTAAAACGCGATTTAATGATGCATTACACCACACTCAGTACATGATTCAGCGCAGTTACTGGGACACAGGATAACGTAACGTAACTTTGTGTACGTGTTTAACACACGGTCAGTCCAAAGATAAATTTCTTCATTTCTTGATGTATTCATTATGTTCTCACTGTGAGCCTACCGGAATTGTTGAGCGATTACTGTTACGTCCGTGACAAATTCTTTCTCCATCCCAATGTCATATGGCAATACTCAAATTAACAGCACACAACTGTCTTTGGCCAGTGTTTGCAATGTCCCCAGCACCATCATGTATCATAATCAACATCAACAATGGCAGTACATCTGCCGTTTGAATTGTTGCTTCGCTGTCGTACAACAACGTTGAAATAAGGAACCGTGAATAATGAGAGGGGGAGAATGGGGACCTAGCAGAAAACTTACTGCCTTAAACCAACACTCAGGGTCAGGGCGCCTACACCAAGTGTCGACAGCATACCGTGACAAACAGCTGGACATCATGCAGACATAAGGCTGTATCGGCGAGACAGCTTCCTTGCGGCTTTCACAGCTCCGCGTCGTAATCATTACTTACCCCCCGATGGCTCAGCACCAGACCCTACAAATAGACAGTCCGACTAGGAGACGACAGCGGAGGCACCACTGGTGCCCACTGCGAGCCCTCTCCTCTAACGTCTCGACCCAAGCACAAGGCGGGTCACGTCGACTCCAGCCTAGAAGGCGAGACAGACCAATGGCACCCAGTGTTATAGTCAAGTCAACTCGTCCACCTCGAAACTTGTGCTACACTACATCAAACAAACAAAACAAAGCCCTCCTTGGTAAACGGTGACCGCGATGCCTAGTAAGGGCGCAAGCCAAAGCAAACTATTCTGTGTTATCTGTTGTTCTAAGGAACTAGATTGAGTTTCAGTATCTAGTACGCGCCCACGAACATCAACTTTGCGAACGTGCTGGTCCCGACCGACACAAGCAACACAGCGCAGACCGCGCTGATCAAAGATTTGAAGGTGCCTCAGCTCGTCAGACCGAAGGGGCGAATTCTCACTCCCATAGACGAGGACGGCCCTCTTGTGGCATTGTACACATGGCCTTTCAAACCGATGAAACCTCTTTCTGACGCCACAGACATGGTAGATCCAAAAGGCATAACCAACATTTGCAACACGTAAACCGACTTCAGTGGTTATGTGCCCATTGTTGCTGATGCAGCTGTCAACCTAAGTGAAGTGAGCAACGAAATGGATTTCTTCACTATCAGAGATCAAGAGCTCGCTAACGGGCTGGATGTCCTGTAGGAACAACTTGAAAAGTGAAGGCGCAATGCGAATGTCAAATGATGGGACCAGTTTAGAGAGGTTGTTCAGGGTTGATTAGGAAAGCCGATGTCGCAAACGCTAGACAATATTGCCTAAACAACCTAGACCAAATAGCTTATCGCCAGCCAGCACCTCAAGGCATGTAAAATGAAACTCGCCACGGAATACTCCATGATGGACTTCAGGACGAAACTGAAACAATACAATGGAAACTGACAAAACTGACAAAACCCAGTTGTTGTGGGCAAGATAAAACAATTTGTATCCTGACAGCGAATCAGGCGCGAGTACAGCACGCGTAATGGCTTTTATTTTCATGCGATAAAATATCCGCACATTATATATCAGAGAGTGGATCAACCGGCAGAAACAAACATACTCCTGAAACCCAGGATGACAGATATATTCCGCCGGCGGTATGTCTAGCGCTGCTCTAGCAACTGCCGCATAGTGAATATGGGGACTACACAGCCCCGACTAAGGCGGAAACCTGCTTACGCTTCTCCAATCCTGCATTCCCGTTCCGCATTCAAACAACGAAAACGAATTGAGGCTAGTACTTTTATCTCCACCGGCGCTACGCCAATACCCACGTGGTTAACACAGTCGGTGCAACTGACATTTATATATCTTACCATTATGATCGATTAACTCCAGGTAGCTCGGATGGCATCCTCCTTCCAGATATGTTCGAATGGGGAGATCAGTCCATTTCAGAGGAACCCAGCACCATGGCATTATAGTGCGGGTGCGAGGGAATCTGGGCCAACTGGACAAACTTGTTAACGATTGAGATCGCGTTTCGAACCTCAGTCGCCGATGGAGCCTCGAAGCTGCTGTGTCGCAGCCGACAGCAGTTCAGTAGGAAGAGGTCCAGGAGCAGGAAGCCAACTGAACTGATCACGAAAGTGATACACCCAATGAGACATACGGCGCTCCCTAATGGGAAGCAGGGCATCAGCGCCGTATCTGATTGGCTCACTGACGTCTAATTCCCTGGGATCAGTGGTGCGCATCCGTTGGGAGAGCTTGCGAGAATTTCCCACTGCCACATCTCATCCATTTCCTGAGCCGTATTACTCCACCATGCTCCCGTCTCAGCACGCAGGCTCCGGTTTAGTTCGCGCTTGATAGTCCGCCTAGTTACATTGTATTCAGAGCCTGTCGAGAGCTTCCTTCTGGATCCCAACTGACTCAACGACTACTCGGATATCCAATGACTAATGCGGTGACGATTGATAGTGCCGCAAGCAAAAGCTCCGCATCTCGCATTGTGCATCGCAGCCGAGTTTCTATTCCACTGAAGCTCAGTGTCATTGGGACGAAACAGCGAAAGTTCAGTAAGCAGAGCATTCTAAAAGGCTTGCCCGACGGAAGACTGAGACAATTTCACAGTTGTCAATCGAGGGAGGCGCTTGGTATGCCTCTCGGCTAAGTTCATGGACAAACGACAACGTACCAGTGCATCATCTAAGTTGACACAGGTATACCAAAACGTTCAACAAACCGGTGTGCAAACACACCGACTGTAAATTATGGTTAGATAATTAATTTTGGTTCGTCGCTGACTAGCTATAGGTGGACGCCAGGTGGCACTTCATTGCCCACACAATAAAAAGCGGTACTATTTGGAATCAGCCGGTGCTTCACATACAAATGTAACAGTTGTTCACCGTGGTCCCTCCGGTAGTAGTTATGTCCATAATTACCACCTAGCTGAGCTTCGGAAGATTTCAGACGACATAATTGCGTACTCATTCCCCTTGCAATAACTACGGTATCTGTAATGCTAACAATACGCTGCAATGCGTTTGGTTCACAGCAGAAGGTGTCTTTGACAGCATCGGAACTGCAGCCTCGGGGTTACAAGCTTAAACCATCAAACTACAGGGTCTAGTCCTACTTCGTGAATCCATCTTAATTGATGTCGTCAAACGGACTGCACACAAACGGTTTTTCACTGGAATCCAATCAACCAATGATGGCTCAGGCTTGGAGCTGAGAACGATGCTCACACCAGCTTGACCAATGATTGCCGCATCGGTGTCCCCGGATGCGTGTAAGCAATAGTTAGAGGAAAAGCCGGGTGCAGCTAATTCAACATCCCCATGAAGGGCATTGATCTTAATTTCGCGCACGCGACAAACTTCAATATCTCGGGTGTCCAACTTGCGTGTGAGTGCAGCCTATTGACCTATTTGCTTTAGAGTGCGAACGTTGAAGGCCGCCATGGAAGCGGGACAACGTGGCCTTATGAGGGGCTGTTGACGATCGGTGACCAGTGGATGTTGCATGAACATTGTTGCATATGCTATGACTCCACTGACATTACAAGTGTTGTCATTTTAACTAGCAATTATAGGAGAAAGTCTGGTATTGTTGGCTGGGAGGGAATAAGATAAACAGGTGAATATGTAAAATATGCGACGCCAGCAGTTGCATGTTTTCGCTTATCCGCCATGCTGTATACAGCCGATAAGGCGACTTTCGATATGCTACACTATAGTTGATACAAGATTTGGTTGTATTTTGAGGAAATGGTCATATGTCTACGTGGGCTGAGATGCTGCCAGGGCGGCCAGACCAAGACAGGAGAACGATTAGTGTTTTAAACCAAAGCCTTTGGCTCAAAAGCTTGTCCGCAAGGCAGCGGGAATGTGGCAGTGCTTTTGGTTATACCGAAATGAACGTCATCGCATTGCGAACCCCCAACCTGGACGACAGGAGAGACTGAGTTCGTCCGACGTCTAAGCTTTGACCAGCTTTGTATGGGTAGCTCATTAGGGGTTCAAATGGCTATACGCAGTATGGCTCAATGGGTGGATGAGGTACACAATTCGTCGCAATACTTTGCTAAGGACAACAAAATTTGGCTGTTTCAAGTAAGGTGCCTGTTACCGAATTGCCCTAGTTCTGGTTTAAATTAGGCTGCTTGTCTTGGTGCCCTTGCACATAGGAAGCTTCAATCGTATCTGTGATGTTTTAATTACGCTTGTTTCGTGAATTCTTCTCATGAGATTGCAATTCGTCCAACTGGATGATTAAATGCGATTTTCCATGATTGTGTACCCAACAGGTTATTACCTCTTCACGAGGATTGCCCAGCTCCACGACAAGGTACGTTGCTGCCAAATACCAGCAGGATTATTTCAATCCTCCACCAAGGCAAACCAGGAATTTCACCCTCGGTGGGCCGGTAAATTTCAGATTACGAGTGCTTCGTTCCGCTCCTGAATGGAACATTACCCGTCCGAAAAGGCATGACGGGGTGGACAAATTCTCCGACCCAGTTGACGATGAAATCAATTTCGACAACAAGATTCTATTTGATGGACAAGAATACAAAGTTAGTCAGGAGTGTAAATTTGTACTAAACTCTAGTTTTAGGTAAACGTTTAGTGTACTAATCCTTACTAGTGTGGAACTGCTGATTGCTGGTAACATTTCAGCATTCGCCAGGTTTTATGGGAAACTATCCGCTTTCGGAAGTATGACAACCATCTTACTTGTAAATTAGGCACAATTTACGGAAAGCTGAGATCACATTAGCCCATTTTGTCGTCGAACACATATTTTTTGGTAGTACTACTATGCAGTTCTAGTCATGGCGACTCCCTGGAAGTGCCCAAACGTTTGGTGCTGCTGCCTCCCATCCCTGCATTGCACGACCGATGGGTTTCGTCCTTATTTGAACTCGTCAGTTGGAGACAGCTTGAACAGACAGCTAAACCCGACACACATTGATTGGTGTCTAATAGCTAGTGATCAAACTGTAAGTCGTCAACCATTGTGTGTCGGATTACACTCTCTTCTCAGGCTATCTCTGCCAAACGAGTCCAAATCGGAAGGAAACTGTTTGGCCGTGGACTGCAATGCAGGCAGTGAACAGATCCGTAACTTCGACTTCGGATGCGGTCCCGGTGACAGGAATATCAATTTTACTTCAAAGTCAAGCAATGACATAATCGATATTGCGTCGCAATCCGAAGCACATGACTGTTACTCCGAAACCTAACAATGCCCAACATTTTCTTTGATAACCAAAGCTTCCACTTTCAGCTGTTTAACGGCAAATATACAGCAACTAACCAGCGGTATTCAATCAACATAATGTTTGAAAACAACACGCCAAGGGGTCACATATTAACAGGCCCAACATTCATCTGTACTATTTCTTGTTATAGTACTTCAATGATCTATGTGGTAATGTACATTTATCACTTCGAAACTCTATATGTTTGATTTAAAGTGGAACCAAACTATCAGCTCTTAGACAGTCTTTTACATTTAGTGCGCTCACGCACACGCTATTTGGGAACTGGCGTTCAAAAACCCATGCGGAGATTAACCAAGGGAACAGTTAGTGGGGATAGCAAAAAAGCACCGTGAAGCCCGCTCAAATTTATGCTAGTTCAGCAATAGGCATATGCAATTGTAATTGTGTGGCAGAGGCGTAGTATAGGGGGGGCAAGCGGTGACGCTCCTCCCCGGGCTGCATGTGACAGGGGGCGCATTTTTAGTACAGATGGTTTTTCAATACCGAGTGTAAATTCATCGAAATTACCTCCATGACTGAAGTGGTAAAAATGAAGGGTGACCGAAGATGAAGTTAGTACTACAAATGTTACTCTCCGGGAAACAGTATATGATATTGAATACATGGATGCAGTGGGAAAGGTTTGTAATCTTGATGCAGAAGATGCGCGCGAGGTTGAAGTATTGGAATGGCAGTCACACTTTGCATTGATAATACACACATCGCTCATTTTCCTTGACGTCTATCAGTAGCCTGTTCAGATTGATCACGAAATTTGCGCTGTACTTTTCCAGCTCTGCTTTAATGTCTTGAAACACGTCGATCATGAATCTAGTAGGTGGCGCTACCTAAAATGGATACAAAGCTGATGCTAAGAAGTTAACAATGAACTAGTCTTTTCGAGAGTTGCGCGAAAACGAGCAAAAATTACGAACACGGATGATGTATTCTCTTGTAAAATAGACCCTGTTTTGTTACAACTGCAGGATGTTTCTGAATAGATAGTCTAGTTTTTCAACTGATGTGGGTTTCAGAAACTGGTAAAAACTAAAACCATAAGCAAAGGAACACGAATCTGATAAATCCTGTGCTCCGTCATCCCCAACAGCAACGAGCTGGCAACCCAGCTAGTCGATGGAAGGCAACTGTGGAAAATACGTGCATGAAATTTTAGCTAGAATACTCGATATCATCAGGTTTCCTATCAAGTAAAATGGGACACTGCGTGGTCTTCGAGACGCAACCAGGAGGACGGAGTAGGCCAGAAAAAATGAGGGGCTTTTTCAGAATTTTACATTTGTTGGCCAATTATGAGCATATTCTTTGTAAACATTTGATGACAGTTCAGCTAAGAAGGAAAATCAGCACATTTTCTTCGTCGCGTTTCCAAAAAAAAATTAGTGAGCAATTCGTTAAGGCAGGTTAGAAAAAATCTTAGATCAGCTCAAGGAAAGCATGTTTGCTTAGTTTTTGATAACATTCCAGATGTATCTCACAAAAATCGTATGATTGGAAATTAAGTGACGATAGAGAAGTCGTTTCTCACGTTCATAAGGAAATAACAGTAAGGAGCAGAGGAATTTCCTGGATTGGTATTGTGTGAAGCTAAGAATCACGAAATTCAGACTGATAACTGCTGTGGCTAGGTATTAAACTGTGCTGCGGTTAAAGCGGGCTACTAATCAGCTGTACACAGACCACTGTGGAATCAATTTAAAGCTATGTTTGTGTCATGTACAAACCATTCCCTGAATCTGGCTTGTGTTCATGAAGCTTCTGCGACGAATCATTCTGATACATTTTTGACAGGATAGTCCGGCTATTCTCATGCTTATAAATGTTGCCAGAAAATTTTGTCTCAAGTCACCGGTATAAGCATCAAGTGGCTATAAAATCTAAATGGAGTAGCCCAGCAGGCGCTGCAAACCGTGTGGCGAAACAATATTCGGAACTCGTCACTCCTCTGAAATATTTCACAGATTAGTGAGAATATTCACCATAAGATCAGACGCATCTTTACGTCTCACGTCGGTATTGTCGTTACCGTTTATTTCGTTTTTGAGCCTTTGTAGATCTGTTCTCATAGGAATCAAGGATGCATAGAAATGTCTACATAAAAGGGGCTGGAGATGAGGCCATGTTCGGTCAAGCTTACAATGTTAACAGTTTTCCTTCTTCAGAATAAAGAGTAAATGGTTGATATTGCAATGGATGAATCAAAGAGACACTACGCTGAGTTGCTGGTAAGCATAGAGTGTGGAGTCCGCCAAAAGAAATGCATGTACGAAGAAAGATTGTTTGATATCTCGCTGAAATATCGATGTGTTAAAACAAGAAATGTTGTTCGTCATGGACAGTGTGACTAACGAAATGCTATCGAGGTAACGAATTCATGAGTTTGGAAACAAAAAGCTTTACTAACGTTGTTAAATCTGCTTGAGAATAACTACGGTTGTTCGCCTAGCTAATTTGAGGAAGATATGACAAAAGAGGCATTCCTAGTCGAAATAAGATTGCAGTATTTTGTGAAAGATGCAGCAAGCGAAAATCTTAATGAATCTTCTGAACTTTTAAGGTTCATACAAAAATCTCACTTTTGAAATCTGCTGCGCATCTTGCTTACTCAAACTATTAGCACAGCCACTTGTGAGAGGGTATTCTCAAAACGCAAACTAACAAAGAACTACCTTCAGTAATCAATGTACAGGACTCATGGATCGGCAGTTCTCCACATAGAGAGGGAATTCCCAAATGGACTGAATATTTTCGGTGTTACCAATACTATTGCCTCATGTAATGCACGCAAAATATAGCTGTAACTTTTGCTTACGAATATGATAAGAATACAATACCTGCATTTAAGACAATGCGTTAACTTTTATCTTTGTTGTGATATCCATCCAGATATTTAAGGCGCTTTCGCAATTGTGTGGGTTTAAGAGTATACAATTGCCAGGGGGCGGCAATTTTACTTTCACCTCGGGCGGCAAAAGTAGTTGCTACGCCATGGTTGTGCGGATCAAGTTAGCCTTTTATTTTTCATATTGACAATGTGCTACGTTAAGTGATTGAACGGTGGAGTGCCTTTTCTGGCTTTAATAACCAAACCGTATGGTTTAGCCTGTAGGCTAATTAATTTGTCTTCACCGACGGGAAACGGACGATGAAGTGATTATGCTGTGACGCACTGAATTCCTGCACGGCCGTAGTCACTTGCCCAAATTCAATTTGTCTCGTATTCTTTGTGGCATGCAGATTCTCACGTCTTTCCAAATCATTGAACAGTTGTGAATCCGTGTTGTGCAGCGTCATGACGCGTCCAAAAATCCAAGTTAAGTGCTGAGTTCATAAAGGTCTGGAAACAATCGGTTGTTGTATTTTTTCCAAGCTCCTCGGAACTCACGACTTGTCCATCTGTCCCAAGTGTCATCCACGATTTGGAAACCTATACTTCATACTGCCATTCGATTGCCATAGCACTTTCTGTTCTTTCTCGCGTAGTACCTTGAATTGATCTCATGGCGTGGTTATTATCAAAAGCTCCATTAGGGACGGTATGGTATGCGATAGATCAAATGTAATCGTACAATCGCTTGTTCGACAAACAAAATGGATTGCTACCTATACCTCATGGTACGCGCAATTGCAGCCATGTGCATACATTACGCATGATTTTTCCTTTCAATTACCATCCTCATAAGGCGCATCGCATATAGAATGCAATAGACCCATTACAATGAGAATCCCCATGAAAATTCCATTTTGTGACTAATACTAATCACCGGTGGTTTCTGCCTCCCCGGATATCGTTTTCCAGGCTTTCGTCCAGGCATGCGTATTCCAAATCGATCACTTGAGCCCCAGTGGACCCAATTCATGTACTTCCTCCAGCTGGTCTCCAGGCTTTGGGCCAGACCGCGAGCTTGTCCCCTGGAATCAAGCACACGAAGGGCAACCCTCGGCTTACGATGAACTTGATCCACAGATACGGGGATCATTCAATGGGGAGGCAAGAAACAAAGGTCTTTCGGGACTCAACATAGTCGGAAATGACTTCTTCCTCATTCTGCTGGTCGCCGTAATTGTTGGGCTGGCTCTGGTGGCCGTAGTTTGTGTTGCTTTTGGCTGCTTCGTGAAGTAAGTTTCCACTCTCAAGGGTTGTATAACTACTTAGAAAGAAGTCATAGGAACCCTATCTAGCAATACTCCTATAGAAGCCGCATATTCAGGATATTTACCTCGTATTTGTATTTACATACTGAGACAGAAGGTGTGGAGACATTGCGGAATTACGCACAAATTTCTATAGATATATGTAAGCCACTTTGATGGTAGGTAATAGCTATAGTAAGTGTAGATGTTTGTGAGTAGGGTAAAGTTCGTAGAAAGTAGAAGTAGCTATATGTTTACTTCGAATGTCAGGACTGTCCGTTTGAGCTAAATAATTGAATACGTTTAACGCGCATTATTACAACGTCCGTTGTTGAATTCAAACTGGCAACGATGTGTGATCTAAGGAATGAAGCCAACCATTTTAAGGAAACACAACGTGTTATATGAATCAGTCGACTCGGGAGAAGCCTCCATTAAAGGATGTGGCTCGCAAATCATTAAGCAAAGTTCGCTGTTTCCTAGCTGCATGATAACCGAGAATCTCCGCGACTCAACATCAAAGTATCTGTAAAAAATTAAAGCATTGGCCATCACCCGGTTATTGCAGCCTCTTTCTAAACCATCAAAACATGCCAATCACAGCAGAATGGACGCCCTTTGGGGATTTGAGCAGTTAAGCCAGACTTCATCAGATATTTGTGATTTGCTCGAGATGAATCGACCAATAACCCAGACATGATTTGTCACTTAGCTATGCGCAAAAGTCGTAGCATTAGTTTTGCCAGAAGCTGCGCCACAAATGGCTTAGACACTTTTATCCCTTGTTAATCGAACAGAGTAAGATGGTCTCAGAAAAGTTTGGAACCTAATTTGGTTGGTCTATTATCATTATTTTAGAAGCCAATTTCTCCTTTAATCTCTGGGTATGGAATTTAAGATGGTCGATTCACTCACCTGGCGAACAGGAGACCATTGTTTATACGTCAATAAATCGGAAGGAAATCACCCCACTTAAGCCTACGCTGATGGTTAACAGTATCCGGGAACAAGCTGAACGCCGGTCCATAGATCACAGACTCATTAATAGAGTACTCTCTAAAGATTAAGGACATACAATGCTTGATACTGTTCTATAGTGAGAAAAGACTCAGGATCACAAAGATATAACTGAGCTACAAATTAGGTTATATTGCACCCCATTTTAGGTAACAAACTGATACTACAATATGCTTGATATTTCCAGATGATAATCCTACATTTCTGCCGGTTAGCTCAAGACACTGGGGTCACGTAATTACTGCACCCGCTTGTACAGGAACAGTTACTTGTCCGCTTATGATCATTAGTCGTCAAACTCGTCCATCCTCTGCTCCATCCACGGAACTACTTACATTCAGGGTAACGAAAAACATTTGTTTTGTTTTCTACACCAATACATATAAAAATCAAGGTCGCTGAAAGACTTGAGTAGTGAGACGTTTTTATCCGACTGAATATTCACCCTTCTGGGTGCATGAAGCCCTTTCTTGAGTTGAATTGAAATGCACTTGTTGAGTAGTAAATGGGGCATACAACGGTTGCCACATCCAGCAATTACTGCAGAATGCCAGTCAGAGTCGGTGAGTGGGCCAAAATAGGCGTTACCAGTAGCATACCTGTTCCTTGTTCAATTTTACTGAGATGCACAAGTACGTTGAGACCTCAAACACCGTTCCACGAGCACAGCTGCTAGAAGGCACCACGATATGATAGTGGTGAAAGTGTCCACTTACTCCAGCGCCTCATATACTCCGTTCTTAGAGTTCACTTCAAATGAACCTACTTTCACGGGAAGAAGCGAAAATAGGTAAATATCTAATGTTTATGGCTTACCTGAAGGAATTAATCAGAGGCTGCGAAAAGCCCCAGTGCAGACCACAGTATGTGTTGGGTAGAGCCTGGGTCATGAAGCTTCCTGTTACCTCAGTTGGCGAACCATTCGAGTGACTGACTGAATCGTTGTGTAATGCCAGGTAGAAAATATCTGCTCGGAATTGCCGGCTTGCAAAAAGGAACACATTTGTTCACATGGCATGCTGCTACTTATTGGAATATCCGAGGTGGTTTGCAGCATGAACCATGTTTCCTTCGTGGGTTGGCACTGACTCTGGAATGGTTGAAGAGTGGTGTTAAATTTCCATATTCTAGATTTGTGATATTGAAGAGACGAACGATATGACAGGTTTAAGAAAGATATTACGCACTTTTCCTTTTGGTACTTGAAAACGATTCGAACTGCATGTTATTTGCATATTTGCCATTTCCCCTGCCATTCCGGTGCTAATGTGTATTACTTTCTAAGTGTTCATCACATAGCTTATTTCAAGTGTGTTAACTTACAGAAATGGAAGAAAAACAAAATGTGAGCTTGGTCTGCATCAACATTCCATATGATTGTGCTTCAAGTTGCGTAGGGTAAACGTGGCACATGCAACATTTTGTTTTTATCTAACAGACAAAGACGGCGCCCGAAACTGCTAGGTCACTCTGCCATGGTGGATCCCGGTATGAAACAACCACTCATTTGTATGAACGAATGCGGGCCGTCTAACGGGAACAAGCTAACAATAGCAACAAGCGGTGGCGATTTGATCACCGCGAACATGAATGCACAGACAAGCAGCTCACTTTTATGTGAGCAGCGTATGGGTGGGAGCTCTATATTGTGTCCAGGGAGCGCGATTTCAACCCAAAGCATGCCAGCCTCCCCACCAATGGTGCCCCACTCGTCCCTACTGTCCTCAATGACGGCCAGCGGGCAAGTTGGATTGGCGACTTCAGGAACCTCAAGCCCAATGACAGAGCTGTCGCATCTGAACCACATACACCACCAAGCCCATGGACAGATGTGTCACGTGTCTCGGCAGCACTCGCATCTTTCCGGTGGATATTGTGATATAAATAGCTCCGTTCATGGACATCGGATTCCAGCTGTGGGTCCTTTTCTTGCAAACCGCGGTGGTACCTTGGGTAGCCACAGTGGAAGTCATCCGAGCTCATTGACTGGTGCACCTAGCACAGCCTTCGGTTCCAACTTGACAAACGTAATCAATTTCGGAGCAGACGATAGTGGTACGTGCGATGGTTTGGTAATAGCACACAGCGGGCTATCTGGACTAGATGACGGACAAGATACAAGATATGGTCTGCATTCCTTGTCTCGCGTCACGAAAGGTAAGGCGGGTATTGACCTTTCTTGCTATATGCAATAGCTTAAAACGCCAACAATTTTTCCAACTCGGCTTGGATTCGCTTTCCTAACCCCGTACTCGAAATGATACATGACTTGTGCTTGTTTGGCCTTGCATTTGCTTGTCTAGAATTCCTAGCTCCAGATCTCCGAAGCTTGCGGATTGTTAGGTATTGGTGCATCTTTGAACTTTGATGCAAGACGAAATGATACTATTTTTAGGAGCAGCCCACCGAATGTATGCGAACGGTGATATGCTTCACTATGACTAATCACCTGAAGTACAGATTTCTTGTAGCTGCCAGCTCATACGTCTTCATCTACCCTGTGAATGTGATTGATACCGCCTAAATCATCGATGGATTAGAAAAATGAACGACAGCTGCCAGTTGGCATTCAGTTACTCATACTAGGGTTATTGGTTCCAAGTCCACAGTCGTGCTGTTCTGACCCCTCAGCCTAGACCACCCCCGTTAATTTTGCACAACAGACGCTATATCATGCCCATGAATAACTGAATGCGGTCGACTATTTCATCAGCCTCTCATCGGCCATTACTCCCCAACTTCAATATCAGATGTCCATTTATTCTTTCGGTTTCTACTTTCTGGTCGGAATCACGTTGATATTTCTGTTAACATACTTATCCCGTGGGAACAGGTAGCCTTACAAGTTGAAACCGACAGTATTTCATGTTGGATTGCTTTTTCGCATGCTGAAAATCTCCTAAGGGAACCAGATTTGTTTGGTGCAGAACTTTGAACAAAACATTTAAGAGTGGCGCGTTATCCCTACTGATCATAAGTAATAACCGAAGGAGGAAATCCCATACAACTTGGAATTTGATACTGCAGAGCTTGTGGATTACAAGAGGAACCAAATGGATCTATACGCAGCCTAAAAGTATCGTTTTTCCCTCACTGTAACACCACCAAAGGAAGAGAATTAGAAGGGCCGGTTCCACTAATTAGAGAAATGTCTGAGGGGGGTGATATGCCCGGAAGTTTCAATGAAGCGTTTATACAATCACGCACTATATTTGGTGCGGGACTCACCAGTAAGCAGGCTAATGCAGTTCAACAGTGGCTGGTCGCATTTATTATTTTTAAATGAATCTCGTATGCAACTACAGCCTTTACTATTGGACACCCTGGATTGTACATTAGCAACGGGAAGTTCAGGCTTCAGCGTTTTGTAGACCGGTTACAAACTGCCTCGGTAGCGGTGACCACCTTGTAACATAGTTCTTCCGTGCCGAAATTCGGCTACGAATATTGTGAATCTGTAGCTGCTAATGCTTACCTCAAAAACAGTGGTAACCACACCCCAATGACATACCCGTATTGTCTCTTAATACCGGCATAAAACGTTCCGAATGAGCACGCCTGTTTTTCGTACAAGAATAACGACTGATTCCTTGTAGAAAGAACTTTTGCGAAAAAAGAAGTATTCAAACTTGCTTTGACAAAATGTACTGATTTGTTCAATACAGAACTCAACATGAGCTATCGTTTGTGATCACCTGTTCTCAAGAACCTAACGTTTATATCCTTGATAGGGTTTTCCTGAGTAAGTTTGTGCTGATTACTTCAAATTGGACCAAAGCGAAGAAATGGTATTTCGTTCTCCAACGAAATAAATCCTAGAAACTTAGTTTACGGCCCAAAGTATGTCAGTTAGGAATCAGCGATGAATAATCTCAAGAGCACAAAATGTTAAGACGTGGAGTTCAGCGAACCAGATCAGTAGTTTGCCTGCAGCGTGTATCTAAATGGAATACCTGGTTGACGTTGAGCAAGATGCTCAAGTTTAACAGCCTGTGCTAGTTAGGCTGTGTTCCACAGCAAAAGTACCGCTTATTGCAAGTCAATACGGCTACAAAAGGTTACGTAAGGAAAAGACTTATGGCACAACTACTACATCAGAGATTGAGGAGGGTGTATAGCGCGAAGATCGTGCGCTATATATCCGGCACGAGACTAGACGGCCAACCAAAAGCAATGGGTAGAACACACAAATTAAGCTAGGGAAAAAGTTTATTGGACGGGAGGAGAGTTAGCTAATGCTAAAAATAGGGCACCAGAAGAGAGCTAGCTAGGGAGAATGTCGTTGGCGTCGAGTGTGTTGACGGAGCGTCGTTCGCGGTCGAGTCGTACACCAAAGGCCGAGATCATGTTCGTGTTTCCAACAAACGGGAACAACGTTCCAACAGCCAAACCGCCTAATTCCCTTATACATCAGAAAGCTATAATTTGAATATATTTTAAAATAGTTTGCACAATCATACAGGGGAATCTCCGGGTCACTACAGGTACCCCATTTCCATTCACCAGCGGGTTCACTGTATGCACAGAGCAATTTTGGCAGTTCAAGGATAAGGATTTTGAGCTGTTCTCTAAGCTGAGTGATTATTGTGCAGACGTTTCGTTGCCTGACTAGGCAACATAATCAGTGCGACCTCAGGCGTTTGGTTCGCAGTACCACGTAAGCGACTTCAAAGTCCAAGTGTTTATTGATCGAATTCTGCTTTGAATGCGAGGCTTCAATGCATTCACGTGCTTGCCGGCTTTTATCCCTTCCGAGGTTATTGGCGTGCTCTAGGTTCTCGGCATCCATGTGCACTGACATCAGGAAGTGGCGACGATTGGTTAGGCTGTGTTCTTGTAGCCTTGTGTCAAGCTTTCTTTCAGTCTGTCCCACGTAGCATTTGTCACAGTTCCGGCAGCAGGTCTTATAACTCACACCAATTTCATCCTCTTTACTAATTTTATCTTTTACGTTGAAGAGTTTACTGCGAATTGTTTCCGTTGGCTGGTGTGCAATTTTGACTCCAAAAGGCAGTAAAAGCCTTGGTGCCATTGCAGAGATTTTGTTGATATGGGGCAGAGTTGCTCTCTCTCCAGCTGTTGCATTTGTCGAGGTGTATTGAACAGCCCTTTGTGGTGCGACGCAGCGTAGAATGAAGCCTTTTGGCTACGAGTGCCGCTTGAGTAGATTAAAGAGATGGTCTTCTCCCGCACGTCTCAGCTGCGGTGTTCTACAATGGGTTTGTGCTCGTTTGAAAAGCGTTCGCACGCAGTTGCGTTTGTGGGCTGCTGGATGAGGATCTGGTCTGGATCTGGTCTGTGTGCGTAGATTTTCGGTAGATTGTTGTTTCCATTCGTTCAGCACCAGTCCGTCGTATGACAGCGTCTAAGAATGGTAACTGCCCGTTGTTCTCTTCCTCCCTGGTGAATTGGATGCCATCGAACACACAGTTGACTAGTTCGTGTGTTTCCTGCAAGTTGGAACGTTTGAGGATGACGAAGGTATCGTCAACGTATCGTGAACAAAGTTTTGGTCTCGCGATCGGAAGTGCTATTTGTTCCAGCATCAATTCGACCTAGGGCACGCCAGTATCCTCGGAAGGGCTAAAAACCGGCAAGCAAGTGAGTTAATTGAAACCTGACATTCAAAGCCGAATTCGATCAATAAACACTTGGACATTGCATTCGCTTACGAGGTACTGCGAACCAAACCCCTGAGGCCGCACTGATGATGCTGCCTAGTCAGGCAACGAAACCTCGGCACAATAAGCACTCAGCTCGGAGAACAGTACAAAATCCGCGTCCACACTCCTAGCTACGGATATTCTCATATATTTCACTTCAAGGATAATAAAACGCACATAATGCAGAGGATTTCGTTCTGATCATTTCTAGAACAATTGTATTCGCATTTCATAAGCGTGCTAAGGCGATTATCGATTACCTCCTACATAACAGTAAGGTGATCCAACATGAAAGAACCTAACGTGGCGCGACGGTTTGCGTACCTCATCCACCCATTAAGCCATACTGCGTATAGCCATTTGAACCCTTATGAGATACCCCTACAAAGCTGGTCAAAGCTTAGACGTCGGACGAACTCAGGCTCCTAGTCCTCCAGGTTGAGGGTTGGCAATGCGATGACGTTCATTTCGGTATAATCGAAAGCATTGCCACATTCCCGCTGCCTTGCGGACAAGCTTTTGAGCCAACGGCTTTGGTTTAAAACACTAACCGTTCTCCTGTCTTGGTCTGGCCGCCCTGGCAGCATCTCAGCCCACGTAGACGCATGACCATTTCCTCAAAATTCAACCAAATCCTGTATCAGCTATAGTGTAGCATATCGAAAGTCGCCTTATCGGCTGTATACAGCATGGCGGATAAGCGAAAACAAGCAACTGCTGGCGTCGCATATTTTACATATTCACCTGTTTCTCTTATTCCCTCCCAGCCCATAATACCAAACTATCTCCTATAATTCCTAGTTAAAAAGACAATACTTGTAATGTCACTGGAGTCATAGCATATGCAACAATGTTCATGCAATACCCACTGGTCACCGATCGTCAACAGCCCCTCATAAGGCCATGTTGTCCCGTTTCCATGACGGTCTTCAACGTTCGCACTCTAAAGCAAATAGGTCAATAGGCTGCACTCACACGCAAGTTGGACACCCGAGGTATTGAAGTTCGTCGCATGCGCGAAATTAAGATCAATGCCCTTCATGGGGATGTTGAATTAGCTGCACCCGGCTTTTCCTCTAATTATTGCTTGCACGCATCCGGGGACACCGATGCGGCAATCATTGGTCAAGCTGGTGTGAGCATCGTTCTCAGCTCCAAGCCTGAGTCATCATCGGTTGATTGGATTCCAGCGAAAAACCGTTTGTGTGCAGTCCGGTTGACGACATCAGTTGAGATTGATTCATGAAGTAGGACTAGACCCTGTAGTTTGATGGTTTAAGCTTGTAACCCCGAGGCTGCAGTTCCGATGCTGTCAAACTCACCTTCTACTGTGAACTAAATGCGTTGCAGCGCATTGTTAGCATTACAGATACCGTAGTTATTGCAATTGGAATGGGTACGCAATTATGTCGCCTGAACCCTTCAGAAGCTCAGCTAGGTGGTAATCATGGACATAACTGCGATCGAAAGGGTCCACGGTGAACAAATGTTACA